TATGGAAAAACAAAACAAACAAAAGGAGCCTAAAAATATTAAGTAAAAAATAAATAAATAAATAAATAAAAACAAATTTAGTAAGCGTCTACAGAGTCTCATTATGTAGATTGGACTCATAGTGATCTGCCTGTGTTCAGCCTCCCAAGTGCTAGAATTACAAGCACATACCACCACAAGCCCCGGCAGGGGTGGGGCCGGCACAGCTCGCCAGTCCAACCCCAGTGTCTGCCTAAGCAGGTGCTTTAATCTGCTGAGCTATTTGGCTGGCCCCGATTTGTCAGGTTTTCATCACTACTACAAAATACTAGAAATGCCTAATTTTTTAAAAAAAGGTTTACCAGATCACAGATTTGGAGCCTGAAAGTTCAAACAAAATAGCACAGACAGTGGGTGGTGAAGGCTGCATGGAAGGTAGTGCCAGAGCATTCTGGGGAGAATCAGATGGTGAGGCTGGAAGCAGAGAGAACTGGGAGGGTCCAGGCTTGCTCCTCATAAGCCAGTCTTCTCTCAGAAACTGCCAACGGGTTCCGAGAGAACTACGTCACACCACTAGCGACCTAAGGACCTCTCACTAAACCCCCACACTTTTGAGGCTCCGCAGCATTTCTATGCACCACCATCCTGGAAAACAGTCTTCTGAAGATAAGAACCTGGGGGGGGGGCGGGTACAATTAAGACATATCTGAAATGCAGCGCCTTAGAAGCTAGTGGGACATGTGGTGCTTTGTGCATAGGGATGGAGAGATGAAAGGATGAACCAGACTGAGTGCATTTTGTATCACAGATCTGCTTTCTAGCTGCTTTGCTTGTGCACGAATCCCTTTCAGCTTCAGGTTCCCCATCCCTAAAATGGAAACACTGTGCCCTGTATTTTTCCTTTGCTTTCCAGATTACTTTCTACCCTTCTCACCCAGGTGCTGGATTGCATGAATAAGCCTCCTTGCCCCTTGGAGTCTCACTGGGTCTGGCCCACGGGAGGGACTAGCAGATGGTCAAAGGCGGAAGGAAAGGGCGGGAGGCCATTTGTTCCTGTGGCTTCCTCTTTGTAAGGCCACAGTTTGGTGACAGATATGTAACTTTGTTCTGAAAGCCACAATAGTTAGGTCTGTCTCTATGGCTCTAGATTTTTCTGGATTCCATTAACTGCTCTAAGCTGAGGCTCTTCACTAATGCTACCCTCAAGGTGCTTTAGCGTGGTTGATTTTTGTAATGCTTGCCATATTTTTATAAACAGATTATTAAATTCCCCTAAGTTGCCCATTTGATTATTTTTTTCCCTCCTGAGAGCATGATCAATGCACAACATTCATATAAAATAATGCACACAACGCGCTTAGTGCAGCGTCCAGCACAGAATAACTACTCAACAAGCTTAAGGTCCACAAATGCTATTATTATGTTTCTTGTTATTTCTCATTATTTCAGGTTTGGCAATATCTTTGCATCATATAATTTTTAAAGAGATGGTGGATTTAGTATTGTACTGCTGAAAAGTTCGAAACATACCCAAAGTTAATTTTCAAAATCTTGTAGTTCCGAACAAAATGAGGGCTCTAATTTTTTCCCCAAAAGATATCTTTACTTTCTTTCCCATAGTTTTATTGAGAAATAAATAGCAGTGAGACCGTTTCAAATCAAATTGGTGTTATCTTTATTTTCTTAAAGTATGAAACTCATTGTTGTTCTCTACCAGGGAGTTGTGAGCTGGGAAACCTACAAGGAAAAGTAATTGAGTGAAAGGCATGTGGGGCTAAGTTGGGAATTTGAACTGGGAAGCTGGTGATTTAGGAGGTTGAAGTCTCAGAAATCTGTGGTCAGAGAAGCCAAGAATCTGGAGAGCTGTGGTGTAAGCCAGGGGACTGAGAACAGAGACTATATTAAGCTGATTTTAAGGAATGTAAGACTGTAGTTATTGTTGTGCCTTTTCATAACTCAAAATGAACTACAGGTCACTTGCTATTGCTATGATATCCTTGTAGTTGAAGTCTCCAGATCTGTAGGATGGTCATTCTTTTATTTTAATCCAATGGGATTAAGGTGGTCTGGGGCTTCAGTGGATATCTCAGGGGAATCTAGTCTTTCAATATTACTCTTATTTATTTATTTGGTGGAACCGGAGATTGAACTCAGGCCCTTGCGCTGGCCAGGGAAGCGCTTATTCCACTGAACCATCTCCCCGGCCCCCTCTAGTCTTTAGTTGCAAGGAAGATGATGTGCTGTCTTGGTGTTGAGTTGGGGTTCTCTTCTCTGAACCTCCAGATTCATGACCACCTAGATTTTTTCCCATAATTTTATTGATAAACAAATAGCAATGAGACAGTTTCAAATTAGATTCATTTTTAAGGTGGAAATGTTGGAAACATTTTTTTTTGTTTGCCCATGGTGTATCTGACATTGGTGTAAATCTTGCTCACAATGCTCAGATTGTCTCCTATGGTAATAATTACTTGCTGATTCACTGAATTATTCTTATAATAGGGAATAAATAATCATGATGAAGACATCAACAATAATGAAATCTTTTTTAATTTACAAAGTGAGTGCTACAAACGTTTTCTTACTTAGAGAAGTAAAAATAAACCAATAAACCTGAGAAGGATAAAGATAAGAGTTAGAAAGTAGGTAGAGTATTTAGTTGATGAAATAAAGCATTTTTTTTTGTTTTACAGAGGTGATTAATTTGATTTTTATTTTCTAGCTAAAATAAAAGAATTGCTTTTGTAGATATTTATGTTGAAATAGTTGATTATGTTGAGATCATACTGTTTTTCAGTATAGGAAGTTGAACCCAGGGCTTTTGAACTGAGCTACATCCAGGCTTTTAAATTTTTTTTTTCTTGTTTTGAGACAGTATCTCTCTCCAAGTTGGTAAGTTGCATATGCTGAGATCGGACTTGTGATCCTGAGATATTACTTATCTTTTAATGTCAACTGGAGTCAACAATCAAAAGCAGAATGTACTTTAATAGGAGTATATTTTACTAACTAGCCATTTGGGGTGATTAATTTTTCTTATGTGTGGCTTCTGTTTTTTTTTTTTTTTTTTTTTTTTTAGATTTGGATATCAGAAACACACGAGCAGATGTCACAAGTGTTTTTAAAAAGAGAATTGGCTGAAAGAAAGAGCAAGGCCTTATTAAATGAGGAAACACTGTGCTCTGGGATTATTGAAAGGTATTCTTACAATCTTCTCTTGCTTATAGATTATGCATCTGCAGAATGGATTTCATCAGTAGGAAGAGGGTTTGAACCTTAACTTACTGACTTACTTGCAAAAGCGTTCATTTCCCAGGGTTGTTGTGAAGTTTACGTGGAAGAAAATATGCGCTATGCCTAGAAGTGTTGAGGAGAAGGACAGGAGAGGGAGCAGGGGAAAGAGCTTTATCTATGCAAGCAAGCAGGATGGTTGGACCACTGTACTGTGCATGTCTGCCGGTCTATGGAAAGGAGCTTTTAATGCTTTAATTTGTTTCATCTCCTTTTATCAATTGTTTCTTCTTTTCTCTTCTTAATTTCTTATGTATTTCTTTCTTTTTTTCTTTTTTCTTCCAATTTTACATGCATGTATCTGATAATATGAATAACTGATTGGAAGACAAGACCATTACAACAAACACTGTGAAACTCATATTACTTCGTTAAATGAAATTCTGTACCACTTGTGATTTTTTTGTTTTAATTCTTACTTGTAGTCTCTTTAAAAAATAAAAAAAAAATGAGAATATAAAAAATAAATGCAGTATGGCCTAGGTAAATTGTCATTAATCAGAATTAAGTGCTCTGGTATCCTTGCTGTCCACATATTGTGTGTCGTACCTCACAGTTGGACTTGAATTCAGCTGTTCACATGAATATTTTTCCCTAGAGAGCGTACCTTGAGGGTAAGGACTGTTTCTTAGTCACACCTGACTGAGATGTACCGTCCTGCGCCTGGCACAGTGTGTCTGCCTAGAAGTGCATGCCATCCACTTTGTCTGGTACTGTCATTACTGGGAAAAGCAGTACGAGTAATGATAAAATGCTAAAAATTCCTTTTATGTGTTGGTACATTTTATTTTGCAAAGTGTGTAAGTGTTACAAACACAAAAAACTCAATAGTCATAAAATTCAGCTCCAAGATAGTTTATTTTTTTTAAATTTTATTTATTTGTGTGTGTGTGTGTGTGTGTGTGTGTGTGTGTGTGGTCAGCTCAGCCCACCAGGGGGCGGGGCTGGCTGGCATGTGGTGCTGGGGGATTGAACCGTGGTCCCTCTGCTTTGCTGAGCTTGTTCTAAGTAGGTGCTTTAGACCACTGAGCCATCTCACCAGCCCCTCCAAGGTAGTTTTATATGACTTTGAAAGTTTACATATGGCAATTTGACATGTTTTCTAAACATTGTTGTCATGTCTACAGGGACACTGGATTACCTGCCACGGGCTACGGGGCTGTCTTTACCAGACATCCACCAGAGAGAGGAAAAATGTAAGTAGTTCTTAAATTGCAGGAGATTGCACAAAATGCTTATTGCTTAGGGAGGTTTGTTTGAAGGGGGAAAGCATCCCCTTTATATGTTATCTTGTGCTTTCCTTTAAGGGAAGATTTCTGTTCTTCAAGAATGATAGGATTAATAATAGTAATACTAAAACAGTCAGCACACCCTAATTGTATAGTCTGTGCTTGTAAATTCTCCAACATTTATTTGTAACTTCTGAATCAGTACCTCTGCTGATGTGCTATTTTTAAAGAACTAGTAAAAAGTTTTAAGTCACTTTAAAGAAGCTGATCTGCCTTCTTGTTTCAGCTCTTCTATTGTAAACAGGTGTCTTTCCCACAGACTTTTTAGTGCCATGTTTTGCTAACTTTCATGCTTTCCAATCATTGTTAAAAGTGTTCCCCTGGGGCCGGGGAGATGGCTCAGTAGAATAAGCGCTTGACTGGCAAACGCAAGGATCTGAGTTCAATCCCCAGTTCCGCAAAA